CGCTTTATCTGCCTGTTCATTGCCAACCAATCGCATATGGCCGGGTATCCAACAAAAAATAATGTCAGAAAAATCAAAAAATCGTATTTCTTTAAAGAGACAAATTTTTCTAGTATGCTAATAATTGTAGGATGTTCAGTTTTCAAAAGACTCAAGTGCTTGTAGGCAGGACATAGAATCTGTGCAAATTTTTTAAAAATGACATTGTTTTTCCTTTTGTATTTGTTCTAGAGCTAAAAGTAATGCATAAGCTTCAGCTGTGAAAATGTAGCTTTGTCCAGGGATTGGAACTGGAAATAAAACCCTACGGATGCTAAAATATGAACTCACTGAGCACAGGAGCTTGTGTGTCGAGGAACTGCAGCAGGACGTCCTGGAAAACAGGCAGAGTGGCAGCAGACAGAGACCCCGAGGACACAGAGCCCTTCTCATCCACGACCTCCGACTCTCCACACCGCTAAAAACATACAGGAACATATCACTGTGAAAACTGTGCCGCTGGATATAATGAAACCATATTCATAATACGGTTGTGTCGATAAGACGGTAGTATCATGTATCGATGATAGACAGATATATCGCCTGTTGCTGATGCCTTTCACGAAAGCAAGACGATTATTATTATTTTTATTTATTGTCCATCAAAAATAGACTAGGTGCCTATCTTTAGCGATGCAGCATGGAGAGCCGCTTCTGGGTCGCTTCAGAAACGTGACGGGGCGCGGCTGGTATAAACCGAATATATATATATATTCTTTGGTCGTATAAATGTTCTTTGCTCATTTTCTGTAGCTGCTTTTTGGATAACTGAGGAAATGTAAGCATTATAATTAGTAACTTACAATGTTTCTATTAAATTGTTATAATTTTAAATACAAATTCAGTCATATAAAAAAAAAAATATTAGGCTGCTTTTAGCCTTACGCTGGAGTTTGATTCACTTTCCGGCAATGAAACCAAGTAGATAATGAAATAAATTAGCATGATAGTATCGTGTATCGGCGATCTCACAGGCTGACAATAGGACAATGAGACAATTGAGCATATCGCCCAACACTAATTCATAAAGAAAAAATAATGTTTGCCAGCAGCACCTCTGCCTCAATCTCCGTCTGCCTCTTCTCCAGGAGTTTGGCCACCACCATTGCTCTGTGCGGCCCGGACCTTTTACAGGAAACAGCCCACTCACACAGCAGGGTCACCACCGCATCGTCGTCTGGACTCATCTACAGTGACCAGCACATTATACATCAAACATCAGATCCAGCTAAAACACCGTAGTATTACATAGTCATTACATATTATTTACATTGTTATTAAAATTAAGTTGATGCACAGCTGTCCAAGCATCACAGCACTTATGTGTCTGATTACAATGAATAACTGTCCATTATTAGTACTCTACCATTTAAAAATCTGGGGTTGGTAAGATGTTTTCAATGTTTCTGAAGTCTCTTAGGGAGCTTTCACACCTGTAGATCGATTGCTTTGTTCCGAAACAGGGATTAAAATTATTACAATGTTGCTTTTTATTCTTGGTGCGGTTCGCTTTCACACGGCAAAGTTTCTAAACGGACCAAATTTGTTAATACAAGTCATGCACGAGTAAACTGTTCTCTCATTGGTCAAAGTTCCACGGTTTATTTTCCGGGATTCCACTTCGCCGTCACGGCTGTCATCCGTCAGGATGGAACGATAGCAGATTCACGGGCTTATTGTTGTTGTTTTTTTGTAGCTGTCGTTATATTAATTTATCACTTTGAGCAGGAGTCCAGGAATTATCGGGAAAACATTTTTAAAATGCACCTACTAGGAAGAAGAGCAATAAGACTGCATTATAAAATTTGTTGTTTTTTTTTGTAGCTGTCGTTATATTAATTTATCATTTTGAGCAGGAGTCCAGGATTGATTGGGAAACATTTTTAAAATGCACCTACTAGGAAGAAGAGCAATGAGACGGCATTATAAAATGAAAAAGTGCGCTTTTTTATTTTGAATGGCGAAGACGTGCTCACCCACAGACATTCACAGGTTCATTTTGAAGTATTATCAAAACAACAAAGCTAATGCTTTTCACGGAACTTACGTAATTACCCATCATACATTGTGATATAGCCTGGTTCGTTGGTCTGTTAGATTGGATTGCTTTCTCACTACAACTGAACCGCTCCAGAGTTTGTTTTCAATCGAGCCGAGACCACCTCGTTCAGGCGATCTCGGACCGATTGTTTTGGCGCGGATCCGAGCGTGATTGCCGTGTTCACATGTTTTTTTGATAATACAAATACAGTAAAAACAGTACAACTGTGAAATATTATTACAATTTAAAATAACTGTTTTCTAATATGCTGATTTGCTGCTCAAAAAAAATTTCTTATTTTTATCAATGCTGAAAACAGTTGAGCTGGAAACCGTGAGATATTTTTTCAGGATTCTTTGATGAACAGAAAAAAAAAAACATTTATTTGAAATCGGAATCTTCTGTAACATGGATGTCTTTACTGTCACTTCTGATCAATTTAATTTCTTCAAAATCCACTATCGGTCGACCTCTAATGTAAAGCGCTTTGAGTGCCCAGAAAAGCGCTACATAAATGAAAGGAATTATTATTAAATGATTAATAAATGATTTTACGTATTTTATCTGCTCCATAAATAATTCTAGATATCTTATCCGAATTGTTTAAATGTGTAGAATCCACATAAGCTTGTTTTTCCATCAACCGGTCAAATTTTACAGCAGGGTACACAAATTCGGTCCGTATTTTGGCCAGACAAAAACTGCACACAGGCTGAATGTAAATGTAACTCTCTGTAAATC